ACTAATTTATCAACCTATTAGGTTATTTTTATGCGTAGACTCAAAAATTCCTAAATATAATGTTCATATGTGATTTGAATGTTTATGTATATATAATTCTTCAAGAGATCTACAAACATCACTTCGACTAACTATAAAAAATGAGGAGATAGCGCCTACAGATCACTTTGCCTACTCAACCCTATACTGGCAAGTTGCAATATCATTACTGAAATGAGGCAAACTTTAAACCCAGTAAGACATGTTCATCGACTGAACAAACAGTAAATGTACCGTGCAGCACTCTACCCTGATACTTTGAAATTGTTAGATATGGTCAGTAAGGAAATACATTGTATTGATTACAGTGACTTGGTCATTCGTATATTAAGGCGCTGTTCATTAGTACTGATGAAACTCCGTTTTGCTGACTCCGTATATTTTGTGAAAGAAGGTAATTTAGTCAATGAAGTTGTAGTTTCGTGGTATAAATAATTAGTGATGCAAATGAATTGATTATTGATCATCTAAACAATTTAGATTCAGTGACTATTCACTTCAAGTGTTTCGTTCTTATACAGTTTATCTGAAAATACTTGTATTTCTTCTTGATATTACTAAATTATGGTGTTGTCAATACTGACAGTTGTATTCAGTCCACTTGCCCGCATAACTCTAGAAGTTCAATACATATAGACTACTTTGTAGTAGTAATTATGAACATAAACTATGTGATGCAGGTACATCCAGCTGATGAGTCCCAAAGAAGATGAGACGCGCGTCTCAGATTCCATTGCTAGCCACTATCCATCTTTGCTTATAAAGAAATTATTTCTTCACAACCACACATAACATGTTGAAAAAGATTTATGTGTCCCTATGAATGAATTCAAACATAATGTAATCTATTTCCTGCATAAAATACTGCTACATCATTACAGTGATTGATACTAAGTGATATTTGGAGCCATAACAATGACTAACCAAATCTAATGTTGCATAACGGACAATAAAAAATCTCTGATGACTAACACTATGTTTCTATGTGAATGTGTCGACAGTAACATTACTGGCAATCAATCTTTTGAAGATTCTTACGTAAGTACATGTAATTTTCACCTACTTCATGATGAAATTAAATAGAAATATTTCTTTACTGATCCTTGCACTTATAACTGGTTGATCACTGAGTAGTGACTAATGTGACGCATATCAAGTCCTTCTTTGTACTGGTGGAGATCTATAGATTCAGTTGCAATGCGAGGACTTGTTAAAAGGACTCAATATCATGTGCACTGTTTGAAGATGTGAAGCTGGGTGAATTCGACAGAAAGCATATGTTCCCTCAAGATCACAGCGTATCTAGTTGAAGAGTATCAAATGTAACAAAACTTAGGTCCAGTGTTTCCTATCTACCAACTCCAACAACTAACTTAAATCATAATATTAAGTGATAAGTTATCTAATTACCCTGAAATTTTGAATATATACTTAACAAATGAAACTGATTTTATTTAGTATCTCAGATAGGATTTTATATAGTCTGAGGTGAATTTCACCGTCATTTAAGCAAATTGATTCAAAAGAGATATCAACGAACAAATTTTCTCTACTACTGTTTCACGATAATGATACAGATTCTTAATTTCAGTTAGTTTGTGATATGGTATTATCGTTTCGGTATGTAACTGTTTCGACGAATTAACCAACATCAAATATTACTTGAATGAAAATCCTTCAACTCCCAGGGTAGAATTTAAATGGTTTAAATTGTTTATTCTGGTTAACGTTTCTTTAGCAAGGTCGTTTTCTAAGGGATACAGTTGCTGACCCCATACCCAATTCTCCTCTTTTACCAGGGGCTTGGGACTGGCAGTAACCATACAAAAGCTACAGGTGAAGGTGGATCGTACATAAATTACGGAAATTATCAAACTGCATTACGATGCAAGAGCTAACTTGGAATCCTGAATGGTAACAAGAAAGAGGGAAACCAAAAAACATACTGCGTCGAGAATTAGAAGCAGACATAAAAAGGATGAATAGCATTTGGAAACAACTGGAAAGGATTGCTCAGAACACAATTCGATGAAGAATCTCGACGAACAGCCTATGCTGCTTCATGGAAGGTAATAGATATAAGTAATTCAGTAAGGAAATATCACCTATTTCTGTTAAAATGTCAAAAAATCTACAAAACTAACCATACGTGGATACAGTGATTACTAATAGTTTTTCACTTCACTGATTTTGTGTAGATTCTGTATTATTTTAAAGTAATAAATATACCACGATAAATTAAATTTAACCATCATTAAATTCACTTAGTAACGTTTACTTCAATCTTCCCATTGATGTTTAGGACTGTAATTGATCAATCTCTTATTGACATATATATGCATCCTGTGCGCATTGCTTCAATATTGTCTTAAGTCACAAGTATTATAAACAAAAATAGATAATGGTTAGCAATAGAATTTAAAACACGCATTTCATCCTATTTAGGACTTATCAGCTGGATATACCTACATCTCAGATTTAATAGTCACTTCAACTGATGAGTCCTAAACTAGGACGAAACACATACCCTAAATTCCACTGTTAGTCACTACCCACCTTTACTTAGTAACCAAAATTAATTATCTTCTTTTTTTTTCTTATAAAAAATTTATTTTTTTTTAAACAAAATGAAATATAAATCAAAATGAAAATGAATTAAATCATACATGAATTATTCTTTAAAAAGTGTATAAAATATTTTTTTTTTCTTTTCATTTTGTTCATTCATTAAAATAAAACAAAACAAAATATGAACTATGAAAACAATTGTTGAATACATCATTTAAATTGTATTTATTCCGCTTTAATATTTCTTATTACATTGATAACATCACAATTTGTAGTAAAGGTATTCATATTGGTACTAATACTACTAATATTATTATTATAAGTAGTAGTAGTAGTAGTAATAGTATTAATGTCATTTATAGGAATAATATTAGTTGTTGTATAAGTCAATCTAGTCGAATGATTATCAATTAATTTTGTACCAGTTTCATTATTTTTAATTGAATGATTTGAACGTTTATGATTTTCTAATGAACGTGATTGACAAAAGCCTCGATGACATATTGAACATGAAAATGGTTTTGATGTTAAATGAGTGTAGCTAAATAATAAATAAAATTTTAAAAAAAAAACAATGACAAAAAGTAAAATAAAATAAAATTATCTTTCATTATGAGGTTGTGGAGATTATTATTATTATTTTTGATTGAGATTTTGAACCGACTGATGTTAGACCATCACTGAAAACCTGAAGGCACTAGACGGCCATTTCGCCCTATTGTGGGACTCCTCCGCAGTGTACATCCACGATCCAGCCTGAGAGATTCGGACTCAGGGCCTTCAGTTATACGCTCGAGCACTTGATCACTAGACCACTGAGTTGGCATCCAACAGTGTTAATTTCGAAACCCAACCAATCCACGAAATTGCTCGGCCGTCTCCCATTGTGACTAGTAACTAGTGACTAGCCTCAGACGGGAATTCTCGCGGTTCCAATGAGAAGCCGTGACCAGTGAAGCTAATCCGTGTTGGGTAGAAGCAGGTGTCTACCTCAGTACAATGGGAGATGGTTGATGTTAAACAATAACACCACTGAATGCCGGCTCAGTGGTCCAGTAGGTTAAGCGTTCGCGCGTGAGACTGAAGACCCTGGGTTCGATTCCCGCGAGCGGGATCGAGGATGCTCACTGCTGAGGAGTTCTACAGTAAGAGGAAATTGCCTTCCAGTGCTTCCAGATCTTCAATAGTGTTCTAACAACAATCGGTTCATGATCTCAATCAAAAACATAATAATCTCCACAACCCCATACGGAAAATTTATAATCTAACTTAAACATTAATAATTCACCTAGTAAATAAAAACTATCTTTCATGCTTTGTGTTCATGTTTGTATTGACTAATTTCTATATGGATTAGAGTATTATCATAGAAACCTAATTGAAAATAAGACGATCAGTATGTCATTATTGAATTGGATGAAACTAGAAAAGAAGGCCCAGGACTGAGTGGGATGGAGAATGCTGGTCGGCGGCTCCATTAGGAGTAACAGGCGAAAATTAAGTATGTCATTATTATTTATGGTTTATTCTTAACAATTTCATAGCTCTACGAGCTATTCATTTCGTAAAATAATCCTCATATAGAATGAAAAGGAAGAAATCAGAAAACTTACATGTAGTCAGTCTACACATCTATTAAACATATAAGATAACTAACTTTTCCTTTAACACTGTTCAAAACAATTATTTTAGCATAGTGAACTATTTCTACAATCATAACTATGATAAGACTTGCAGTTAACTTAAAGATTTAGAGTGATAAACAAGTTGAAAGTAATCCCTGTTGTATAATATTCAATGGCAAAGATATATTCTACCAGTCGAGTAGAAATTTTAGTCATTAGGCTTTACTGTTGTAATGTACTGTATTGAAGGAAAAATGTGAGGAATCTCTGGACTTATTTTTCAGGTCTCTTGACTAACATCTTTACTTTCTGTACGTAATGTTGATGGATGAATTGTCTAGTGAACAATGTAAGCCTATGTCAGCAAAAATTTATACATGTTTACTAAGTGGTTAGGAACAAGTTATGTAATTCAATCCAGTATCCGACATTTGATCAAACTACTACTATTCTTTATGATACTAGTTATTATAGGAAGAATTAATATCGTTCTTGACTATGATATTAAGTTATATGACTGCTTCTATTGAATTTCTTTATGCCTCTTTTTTAATGTGTTTCAGTAGATGAGAAATAGAGACTTACCGGTAGATTCTGTGATTTATTCTTTAAAGAAGTTCAGCTTTCCACTCAATAGGATAGAACATATGTATTTTTATTTTCGAGATTGCCAACCATTGATTCAATGCTTAGTTTATTTCAGTGCTTGAAGCTACCAACTTCTAGTCTTAGTCATATTGGTAGATTCAGACTACTTGGTTGGGGTCCGCGTGACTATCATAACCAATGGTTGCAGACCCTGGGTGACATGGCTCAGAGTCGATCACAATGGCTTAGGTGTATACACACTCTATCTTCCCTCAAACGATGAGATTAAAATCGCTTCATATCATTCTTTCTACGAACTAATTCTTTCTTTTTGTACTATATCTTTACATAAAATCTTTCCTTTATATATTACACCAATGAGTTAATTGCTTCTATGAATCCGGTGTTCGTCTTGTTGTGCTAACAAGATATGGTAACTTGGATCGATGCATATATGTGCCTGATCCTACGCTGTAACTGACTGAGTTATTTCAGACTACCAAGTCAAAGGTTGATAGTTATATATACATAAACTGATGAGTGATTTTAATCAGTTCTTCCAAAAAAAAAAAAAACACGTATGTATGAATTCATGCATATTCAAACAAAGTTCTTATCTAAGCTAGGGATTTGACTGACCAATATTTTAACATCACTCTAATAACTGTCATTTCCAGAAAAAACGTATATGAATTATTCAGTTACCTGTGATCTCTTAAATGATCTTTTCGTCTGAATCGTCTTGAACAAACATCACAACCGAATGGACGTTCATCTGTATGAGTACGTTCATGTATTGTTCTATTATATGCTTTACTGAATCCTCGACCACAATGTGAACATTTATAAATTGATTTTTTAATATTCATTGATAATGTTGTTGATGTGGGTTCAGTTTTCGATCTAAAATGTATTTACATTTTATTTGTAAAATTTAACAATATATAATTCCTTTTTTTAAGCAGAAAGATTTTGTTTAAACAGAAGTTAGACATTAATACCGTTGGTTATCAGCTCAGTAGTCTAGAGGTTAAGTGTTTGCATGAGAGACCGATAGATCCTAGGTTCGAGTCCCGTGAGCGGAAATATACTACAAAGAATATAAACATTTAGTATGGTTAGTGAAAGTGTCATGCTAATTTATAGATATCCTTATCTAAAAGCGTAACACTTCCAAATGACTACATAGTAAGGAAAGTCAGAAACATTAAAAGTGCTTTAACCAAGCCCACACTCCCTTCATGTTGTCTATGTATAAGCCTGTCAATTTGTCAACTAAATGTATCTTGAGAATGACAGTTTGCTGACTATATCCAAAGCTGAAAAAACTTTCTATGCATTAATCATCTAGGTGTAAAGATATTCCACGTATAATAATTTTCTTCATTATGGGTGTAAGTGTCTACTTTTTATAGTGATCTGTCCCAAATACCAATGATCTATTATGGTTATAAAGCATATCAGTTACCAACTCATTTTTAAAATTTTCATCACTTAGCATAATTGAACGATGGAAACATTCTTGCAAGTTTGAAAAGCAAATCACCTACCAATTTTAATAGTTGAGATCATGAGTCAATTGAAGCTAGACCACCATGGAAAACCTGGAAGCACTGGATGACCGTTTCGTCCTACTGTGGGACTCCTCAGCATTTCGTATCCACGATCCCACCTCGCGAGATTCGAACCCAAGACATATCGATCTCGCGCGCGAACACTTAACCACTGAACCACTGAGCCGGTATCCAACAGTGTTAATGTCTAGCTTCAACTAATCTACGAAAATGAACGACACATCCATCATTGTCATTAGTGAGTTACTATCTCAGAACAGACCTGATTGAACTCCACTGAAAAAGGTTTCAATTTTTTTTCATTTTTTTTACTTACCTTGTGAAAATATTTTTGTTTTCATTGATCATTTCATATGCTTGAAGTGAACTTTTTGTTCTATGTGATTGCGTAATTAACACTTTTTGAGTATTGGTAAAATTTAGTCCATTCGGTGAATAATTAATAGGAGTATTAACAGTAGATGTAGTAGTAGTCGTCGTCGTCGTCGTAGTAGTAGTAGTAGTAATAGTAGTCACGCTATTAGTAGAGACAGTAGTGTTATAGTCTGATGAATTCAATTTCATAGCAAGATTTAATGGTGTTGTTTGAATTGATGTGACATTTTGATCGGGTACATATGAGAAATCCATTAAATGATCCCAATTACATAAATACACGGAATTGAAATTATTCACATTATTTACTGGTGTTGTCATAGAAGTAGGAGTTGATAAAAAGTAAGGTAAAGAAAACATTGATGTAGTATCATCATCAAACTGTTTATGACCATTTTCATTTAATATTAAATATCTTAAAAGACTTCTCCATAGAGGCCAATTGATAGTTGTCTGATTAAAATGTGCCATTTGAGATGGATTGATCAATGAAGCTGAAAAGGAAGTATAAAAACTATTTGAAGATAGACAATAAGTAATATTCAAACAGTATCCACTATACATCTTTTATAATAAAAAGAATCATTATAAAACAATGAAAACTATGTGACCTGTTTTAAGCAGTTGTAAAATCCTTGTATATTATCAAGTTTTCATCAAAGTTGTAATCTATTCATTGAGTGTATTCGACAAATGACCCATGAATTAACGTGAGCGGTAACCCGGATGGTAGAGATCGGGCTAATCACTTACTCGACCGATACCCTTAAACCGATTACGAAATCCACAAATGATCACAGTACAATTACTCCTGGATCGAAAAATGACAAAAAATCCATAAAAATGGTGCACGGAATGTACGGGATTGCTCCCTACGGGGCAAACTCTAACCGATTGAAAAACAGGTATTCTAGCCCCGGTAGTTATGCCATGCTTTGATGTGGCCTGTTTCTCTCCAGAAATACCTACTAGGCTTCATCAACTTGTTTGGTTGAAAGGGTGGGGGCGGATTGAAACACCGTGCATTAACAGCTAGCCTTTTTTCTGAAGAACTGTGATCCCATAAAAACTTTTCGATGAACCAAACAAAACATATAAAAACCTCCAGTTTTCCTTTTGAATTGAATCTACAACACTATTCATATACTGAGATTTCATATAATTACATTATAATTTGAGAATGCCCAATATTTCATAAGATCTGATATATTCTTATATTTCTTATCTTACTGAGTGATGTAATTTTCAAGATGAAACAAAACGTTGTCAAGTTCAGAACCAACTACTTGTCAGATGACTACTAACTTTTTTTCATTCAATTATCAACATCTGAAATTATGTACTTTGACTCGTATATCCAGGACTTAAACAAACAGACAACCATTATGTTTTTACCGACTGAACTCAATTTATTCATTATAGATTTATGTTTCTTTTTTAAATGGAACAACATGGTTGTTGTTTTCATTTAGGATTCTTATCACACTCTATCAGTTTCATAATCAATTAGACTTGTATAGCGAATGAAGACTTGTTCAAAAAAATTACTGATCAAACTCAATAGAATGTTATACAATTCAATAAATCAACATTCATTTCAAACTGATGTCCGTTGAACAGTTATTAGGTGCTTGATGACATTGCATATAAATTGCTTAGAATTACATATATATGATTTCAATCTAAATAAAACATATAACATTTGACTTTATTATGCAGACCCGATACTGTTCAACGGTTCTACTGTATGGGGTGGAAACGTGGAGAACTACGAAAGCCATCATTAAGAAAACACAAATGTTTATTAACAATTGTCTATACAAAATACTTCGGATCCGTTAGCCAGACATTATCAGCAACAATCTACTGTGGGAGAAAACAAACCAGATCCCAGTGGAGGAAGAAATCAGGAAGAAGCACTGGAATTGGATAGGACACACATTGAGGAAAGCACCGAACTGCGTCACATGACAAGCCCTCACTTGGAATCCTCAAGGCCAAAAGAGGAAAAGAAGAGCAAAGAACACATTACGCCGATAAATCGAGACAAACATGAGAAGAATGAACAACACTTGAATAGAACTAGAAAGGAAGGCGGTGGACAGAGTGGGTTGAAGAATGCTGGTCAGCGGCATATGTTCCATTGGGAGTAACAGGCGTACATAATGGAACATAAACTGAATTTCATCAATGAGTTACGTAATATTGTTTTCCTCATTTGAAAAAAAAACAAAACAAACTAAAACCTTTAATAAACTTTATATTAGTCAATTACAAAGACCACTTTTTGTTTATAATAACTTACATGAATACATATTAAAAATATTATTTAAATATGGTAGCCAAAATAATGAAATATCTGATGAATTAAAATTGTTGAAAAAATAATCTTCTATTATTGAATTTTGATTAGTGGTTTTTGTTAAGTGTACAGTTGATGCTGTTGTTGTTGTTGTAGTTGTAGTTGTTGTGGCTAATTCTGTCTTTGACGATGATGATAATGATGATAAAACTTGACCAATTTCATCTTGTAAATTGATTTGAGGATAAATTGCGTTTTCATTAGGGAAGTTATTAAGTTTATCAATGAAATGCGTTGTTGATGTATTTGTTTTGTTTTCAATAATATTAGTAGTAGTAGTAGTATGAGCAGTAATAGTAGTAGTAGTAGTAGCGGTAGTAGAAATAATCGAATCATCTGAACTAGATTGCAATGAGTTCAATGAAGGTTTATTTAAAATTTCATCAATATCATATTTGTTTATAATAGGGGAAGTAGATGAAGAATATGTTGGTCTAATAGAGAAATCATCTGTTCTATTCAAATGAAAATTGATCGGTGTAGATGTATATTGATTTGTAGATGATAAAGCTATATCATAAGTTAATGGGGTACTAAATTTTTGAAAAGAGGTGAAGAACAAAAATGTTCAGTTACAATCAGACTGAGTTATTTTAAAACTCAAATTAAAATATCCCCTTTAACTGAGTGATTATTTAGGCTCCTGACAGTTGTTGCTACCCTGACGTGGTGGTCGGGCTTGCCTAACGAATGCACCAATCGAGCTATACTGGCTGGAACAACCGTTCCTCAAGGTTCTACCGTGTCAGACAGGTCGGTTGAACAGCGGTAAAACTAAAAGCAACAAACCCAAGGTCTGAGGACGAAGTCGTACTGCTTACTGTACAGAGGTGTCAAGGCAGTAAGGTGTTTCCTTCAGACAGCCATTATAACAACGATGCTGCCTTCCCACAAGAAGGGGTGGGGTTAGAAAAGGTCGACCCTAAAAGTGTACATATCACCTTGTCCCACAGAGATCCGTCTCCGGTGGTAAGGTCTCAACAAGTATGGAGGTAACGCAAAGACTACTGACAAGAAGATCATGTGTGACCGACCTCACGCAGTTGTCCCTTGGGTACTGCGATCACACTTTCAGGTTACTAAGGCGACCTCTTACCCAATGTCCTTTTCAGGTACCTCCAGAAGTACCGTTCCACGGTGTTGGCAACTGGGAAGTGATAATCGACCTCATTCTTCTAACAGCACTCAAGACCACTGTATTCATACTCAACCTCCTTACACAAATACTGTCATTAGGTGTAATACTGAATAATTTATAACGTTTAAAGTAAACAATGAATATGGAATTATTACCAAGGACTTCTAACAAGCATCATTTACAGGTTCCTAATTTATGGTTCAACTCATAAATCTAACAGTGAATATGCAGAATCAATACTTAAATATTTAAAATAATAATCAATAATCAATGAATTAGTGATTATAATTGATCGTTATCGTCATATATGTAATTGAATTTACAGTACAGTTCATTGTATTACTTGGTTCAATAAACAAAAGAATTTCAGGAGTCTTATGTAAACTCTTCATTATCATATAATTTATCTTATCTATCTCTGAACTTCACTCAATTATTACATCACCCATTCCTCATGTTATTTTGATTCTAACACCAAATGACCTCCGACCTGTTCTTGAACATATATACATATAGTTATTATGAATAGCCTATGTTGTTCCGATTCCGTTCATTCACTTATGTCAATTGTTTCACATTATATCTTACGTCAATGTAAACTTTCAATACATATTTGGTTGTAAGTAACTGATGAAAAACTATGAAATATAATGAATTCATATTATTCTTCATTCATGTTTGTTTTGGCTTTATTTAAATAGAAACATTTAGAGTAGGGTTAGAATCGTCATTTCACTATTTAAAGACTGGTTGTACTCTAACATAACATTTATTCCAATAAAGACATTGGGGATATCCTTATTCATAATAGTCAACAAACATTCAACTGACTTACATGCTGATAAGTATTTAGAAACGTTCTGTAAACTATCTGTATGCACTTTATGTTAAAAAAAAGATGTATAAAATAGAACAAAGTATATACTTAACCAACTTTAATCTTAACTAAATTGTTAATTACAAATGTTACTATTATTATAAGCAAAGATGGATAGTGGCTAGCAGTGGAATCCAGGACGTGCGTTACGTTCTATTTGGGACTTGTCAGCTGGATATAAAATAAATTTCAACTTCACTCCACTTCATAAGCTAGTGGCTATCTGGACTCAATAGCCAGGTGGATAACTTGATGGTATTTAGACTGAACGATACTAGGTTCGAGTTCCGAAGTGAACATCAACTCTAGGATACAGGTACACCCATCTGACAAGTCTCAAATAGAACAAAACACATGTCTTGGATTCCACTGCTAGCCACTTTCCATCGTTATTCATAATACTTGTGAATTAAAGCAATATTAAGGTAATCCGCACACGACGCACATATGCCAACAAGAGACTAATCGATTGCAGTACTGAACATCAATGGGAAGATTCATTTAAACAATATCAAGTGAAATATTATTATTATTAATTGAAAACCGAATTTAAAATAAATTTTTACTACCTCTACCACTATAGGATTTGAATGTGGTATGGCAACTTGAACTGATGTACGTACGTATGAAGTTCTACGTTGTTGCTGACTGGCTAACTGATAGTTGAGTTTGGACAGTAGGCTAACTAATGTATAAATATCTGTACAATGTTATACATATACATACAATGAGTTGTACAAAAATTCACAATAATCTCTAATGAACTTACCTATTTTGGTCTGGAAAACTTTTTAGTTGTGAATTGAAACAATATGAGTTATAATTTAGTGTACTATTAATAATATTATCACGAATAGTATTATTATTCTGAGTGTTAAATGTTGGTTGAAATAACATTGTCTCAAGTAAATATTGAAAAGATAAATACAACTGAAAATTCTCCACCGGTTACATCATCTCCTTATATATATATATATATGTATGTGTACTCCTCTTCATATAAACAGTTCAAGTTACTATGGTTCCCTTATTCACTCACTGACTTGTTGATATTGACCATCATGGGATATGAACTTATATATGCAAATACTTCTTTTTTTTTGTTGTTATTGTTGTTCCCCCACTTCTTTCAACAGTGTAGAAATGATCATATATGCATTAATATGCGATTGTCTAATACTACACTTTGATTGTATCTAATTATCCAGGTTCCAATTCACATTCATCCTATCCCTATAACCATTTTTTTTCTCTTCACCATTATTTACATGATGATACTGTCGAATAAAAACAAAAAAAAAACTCGTTAATGAATATTCTACTATGCTATGCATTAGATGATTGCCATTCTTCAGAATTCTAACAATCTTTGAATATGTATATAATCAAGAATATGAACCCATCTAATAATACCCCCCTCTATCTCTCTCTTTCTGAACTGCACTTTAAAACATTCAATAGATTTTGATAAAGAAAACAAAAATGGTGATCATTCTCCCCTATTCTATCCAAATGCTAATAACTTACTCTATCTGTTACCCATATTAATTGTTTCATATTTACACTGAAAGTAATCAATTTGGTCTTTGTTAACAAATAGATTGTACAATAGTTAATTATTATGCATATATAAGCGTGTGAATGTGTAAGTGTATGTGTGTGCGTGTGCGGATTGCATCACCGCATAACGGAACTGAAAATCCAGCTGAGAAGTAAAATACCAAAAAAAAGTGGCAACATAGGATAATGACAGTGATAATAAAAAGAAAATAAATCATTGGATTAGGGATACTGTATTTTCAGTAAAATTACACTAATATGACAAGATTCATATGATGAATAGTTAGTTCATAAATTTATTCATCTCAGAAGGGTTTTTGTGGATATTATAGTAACTTCAATAGTTGACATCATGAGTAAATTGAAGTTAGACCATCATGGAAAACCTGGAAGCACTGAACGGCCGTTTCGTCCTATTGTGGAACTCCTCAGCATCATACAAACTGACTTACCGTTGGATGTCGTCTCAGCGGTTTAGAGGTTAAGCGCTCGCGATATGTCCTGGGTTCGAATCTTGCGAGGCGGGCTGGTGGATGCGCACTGCTGAAGAGTCCCATATCACAATGAAACGACCTTCTAGTACTTCCAGGTTTTCCATAGTTGTCTAACTTCAATTGATTCATGATTTCAACCATTGAAATTACCATAAATTTATTGTAAAAACGATAGAAGTGAAAAAAACTGTTTACTTTCAATGATGTATTATCCTTCATTCAAAGATAAGAGGATAGTCTTCAGATGGAATTCCTTCTTCATCAACCCGACCCCCCCTCGCTATATATAGAAATATCATTTGCATTATCATACTTAAGGTCAATCAATTTATTATACAAACCAAAGAATTAAATGGATTTTAATGATTAATAGTCTATGTATAAACTGAATATATTTATATGATAACCAAACCTTTAATTTATAATAAATGAGTATTTCATTTCAGATTCTTTGATTGTTTTCATGTACTGAAAGTTAACCGACTTGGTAAATTTTTGATTAGTTCAACTAAATAATATTTTCAAAAAAACGAAAAATAAAATTAGAATTGTAAATTGGGAAATATGAGGTTACATAACTCTGATATGAAATGAAATAAATATTATTGTAATTTCAATAGGTAAGATCATGAGTCAATTGAAGCTAGACTACCACCATGGAAAACCTAAAAGTACTGGAAGAATCGTTTCGTTCTATTGTGGGACTTCTCAGCAGTCCGCATTCACGAATCTGTCTCGCGAGATTTGAATCCAGGACCTATCAGTCTCGCGCACGAGCACTTGTGATGTGTGCTATTGATGTAAGTAGATATAAGTAATATATATCATCAATAGAAAGTGAAATACTTGACGGCAGAATGTTAAGAAAATTGAGGAAAAAAGAACAAGAACAAAGAATGATTGGCGTGGAATTGAAGGGATAATAAAGTTTGAGACAATTGATAGACATTTTGCAAATGAAGTATTTACTGTGTGGTTCTCAGATTTTACTAAGATGTTCTGTTATTCTCACTTATGTTCTCGTTCACTTCATTATCTTTAATCTAGGGATAATGCATGGGATATTGTTTTATGGATAAAACACCTCTAGTTCAAAAAGGGATGAAAACTGAAGTTATCTGAAAAAGATTCATATGGAAAAGAAGTAGATAAATAGTTTATTGATGTCTATACTTTGGCGGCCTGCTTGAATATTTGGGCTACCTGTTTCTGACCTGAACATATATCAACATGTTAACTATCTTTTGTTTATTTCAACACATCACTATGGCCCTTATTTATATAACCTACTTAGTCGTGTTTATGAAAAGTTAACAATCTTTCAGCGTACAACATACAAAAAAGTACAATCAGAAACATTGTGTTGGATGCCAATATGCATTGAGAAGAATGATCATTGTTCAGATTTCGATTCATAAACTACCAACATCTAACTGGTGATAACTCAATATTTATCGTCAGGATAGATGAAGAAATAAGGAGAGGAAATTTGATGAAATACTTTGTGCTGAGAATTCTATATTGTACCAAAAATATGATATTGAATAAAGTCATTAATAATAATAATAATGTATAAAAACCCAAATTATCCCTTATTCACTCAAGGCGTTTAACACATTACTTTACAATAAAGACTGAATTTAATTTACTTAAGAGACGTAAAAACTAAAGATCTTTTACCTTTATGAATATTGGAAAATAAAGTTCTGTTTCACACCCAAATTCGGTCATAACAACGTGTCACACACTTCGCCAGTTCAAGACTGCGTACGGGGATTTATGATTTACTCTGTATCCCATGATTCCGCCTGAAGGCTAGTGACCCTACCTATATCCTTGATACATACTACGTGTGATGCGAATCTTCAACTTTGTGAGAGAAAGTTGATTGTTTGAACCACTAGATTATCAATCTGCAAGTAGTCCGTTTGATTTTCCAAGTACAGACTTGGATATTATTATTATTATTATTATTATTATTATTATTATTATTTAGACACATAGATATTGGTACAAGGAAGCACCAAATACATATGCAACACACAAATCTTATTTGATTTGTGTGAGGGCTGTGATACTTCCCGGGTGCCCAAACCGAAGCAGGTGGTTTTCTTAGGGGACCACAACCCGAGACTTCGACCTAAAGGTCTGATCCACAAGGCAGTGGAGAAACGTAAGGAGATGCAGTCCCATGGTAGCCGGTGACCAACGATTGGTTCATACACCATTTGTTCCCTCAAGATACTGGAGCCCATGTGCACCATTGGTTTGGAATTAGGGTTTTCCAACTCCCATAGGTGGACTCTCCATGTCCACCAACCTGGTTGAAGCGCCGGACATTATCTTTTCATACTTTCAATTTGTAAACAACAACCCCGCCACGAGAAGGTAGTGAGTAGGACTTCCCTGACAGAGGCTATATACGCGTGGCCATGTGAGAGCATTTCGAGAGGGTGAGCGGACTCTCCCCACTCTCGGGCGTACCAGGGCATTTGGGAGTGGATATCATTCTTGGCATCGCACACTGTGACAAAGATATGGGGATACCAATAAATTATCCAAACCGAAGTCGGTCGATCGAGGTTAGCATAAAGCTGTTTCATGATAATCAGAGCCTGACAAATAATGTAACAAATAAAAAAACAACGATAAATCTAATAACCTAACAAAATGATGGTACTGCTACCTATTGTGATTGTAGATATAACTGTTAAATTGCTACTGTATAACAAAACAAAGACTGTTATTGCTCGACGCAAGTAGTAAAAACTAAGGTTTTAGTATGAGCGAAATATAAATCCACGACTATTCACGAGATGGGTGATTTTAAACATCCAGCCATTAGTTAGATTTGAGTACTTCGAATCAACAGTAACTGATATTAATTAATCGATGATTTGGTAATGTGCACTTGTCAATATCAATGGAAGAAGAGGTTATGCCAATCCGTTTTGCACACACAATCCTGATTTTTCCAGATGTATGGCAGTGAAAATACGATGCAATCTAATTGTCTTTGAATGACATCTATTTACCTTGTAGATGACTTTGAACCCAGAGTCAGTCTTGATTGAATGAACAGTGTTCACAAGGTGTTCGATTATTGAACTTCTTATTGAGCCGTTTTCTCCTCTTCTTAGCCACATGATATTATTCTGTTTATCCTCTTCTCATCTCATTCATTAATTGTGTATCGGTTTATACTACTTATCAATATTCAGTAACCAGTTCTATATCTAATAATGTTTGAACGTATGGTGCAACATTCTTTTATTACCGCTTAGTATTTTGAAATGTTTATATGAACTAATAACATTTCCTTTATTTATCGTTTTAATCAACTTCGCTCAACCTTTGCAGCAGCTATTTCCGTTTTTTTTTAATTTCTTAAACTTAAATTTAAATGTGACCTCATCCAGATTGGTCGTTGATTAGTTGTTGTTAACATTAGACATAGTTATCAGTTATCATTTACGTTAATATATGTTATGATTACTCTTTATATTACCACAACAAGAAGCTCTCATATGCAGCCACCCTGTCTGTCATAAACAACTTACAAGTCAAGGTTTGTAACAAATGTATGTATATTCATTAATAATGGAACTGTACTTTAGACAAATCGTTATTTTTTGAAATTTGGTTTCACGTGTATTTCAGTCATGCATTTGGAAACTTAAATAGAATTTACAGTGATAATAAATGACCTCTCTTAAATAGAACTTCATTAATAATTTAAGTGATAAGTATTTTTAGAATTACTTTTTCAAGCAATAAATCATGCATTCGAATATATGAAATATGGTACGTAATTGCGATCCATCATTATTATTTCTCCTTACATTACTTGCTTACTCCTGTTACCCTCGTTGAGTAGAATAGATCATCCATCAGGGTCCTACAACCAAGATAATTCAATTATGTTGTGAGCAATCCTCTCCGGTTTTGCCCCAATCGGT